GAGGTGACTGAGTGGAACCCCAGGTCGCATGGTTCAGGGCGTGTCAGTCTGAGTGTGTCTTTTTCCCCCAGGGAAGAAATGTCGCAAGCAAGACACCTCTCCAGGAACCTCATTTTGTGCACCTTCCTTCAGGAGCATGGCCTGCCAGCTGTGGAGGTTCCCGGCATGACCAATCTCCTCCAGTACAATCCTGATCCCCACGGGTAGGCCCCTGTAGCCCTCTGTGGGCCCCGCCCACCCCGTTCCTGGTCAGTGACCTTCGGGGGAGTGGTCAGAAGAGCAGCCTCTGGGCGGGCAGGGCTCCAGAGTGGAAATTCCCCAGGTGTGGCCCGGGAGGCGCGGGCCCTGGGCGGGGAGGCTTTGCTGTGACACCAGGTCACCGAGGGCGCCTTAGAGCATCCAGCATGTCCACAGTCCAGGAAGGGCCTTGGGCATTGACCCTCAAATGGCTCAAGCTGTGGCCTTAGGACAGAGTGCTCCCGGCCCCCATGACCACGGCCACCTCCTCAAGGCCTCTTGAGAGATGGGTCCCAAGTAGCCTGAGGCCGATTCAGGCTCCCCCGCAGCTCCTGGCCCTGGCTGTTAGGGCAGCGGAGAGGGGATGTTCCCGGGATCAGTTCCAGGTCTGCTCTCTGCCTCAGGATTTTGTCATTAGGTCCTGGACTTGGGGGCTGGGCTGGTTGGGATTTTAGGGCTGGAGGGACCCAAAATGCACCTTTTTCCTCCACACTGCTCCATCTGTAGATGACAACAGGGGATGTTCAGCCTGGCAGTTTTCCTGAGGTCCCACAGGGTATCAGCATGCAGGTGGGACCTCCACCCACCTTCCTGGTTGCCAGCCAGCCCTCCCCAGCCCCCGGCCCGCTCCCCATTGCTCCTGGAGTAAAGAGAGCACAGACCCTGGGGACGGGGCTGTGCGGAGCCGGGAGGCCTCTGGCTCTGGGAATTCCCAGGCAGCTGCCTAGTCACCAGGATGGAATGTGTGGGCAAACCCCAGAGCAGGGCTGAAACCCGCCCAGGTGCCCCGAGGCGGGGGAGGGGAGAGGTCAGGCTGGGAGGTGGGTGGAGCATGTGCCTCCAGTTTCCACGAGGGACTTTGTTCAGTGAGAGTGGGGACCCAGACGGGCTGGTTAGCCCCTCCTTTCTCAAAGGGGCAGTGACGAAGAGGTGGTGTTGGGATTGGGGACCAGGGAACAGGTCCCAGAGCCCCTCCCACAGGGTGGGGGGTAACTTGAGACCCCTGTGGGAAGCCAGCCTGTGATCCGAGGGGACTCAGAGCCCCCCCCCCCAACTCCATTGTCCAAATGTCTCTGCCCTCCTGCCCCAGCAGAGGGCTCAGACCAAACCCAGAAGCCGCTGGCCTCCCACACTCCTGGAGCCCTCCATGGCTGTGTCTGCAGCAAAGTGGGAGCCAGAGGAGAGGCGGGAAGGTTCCCTGCCCCGCATCCTGCTCTGTGCCCCACAAACCTGTCGGCCCCGTTGGCTGGGCGGGTTTGGGTGTGGGGGTCACCAGCACAACCCACCACTGATATCCTGCACCCTCCTTGCAGCGACATCCCTCACGACATGGGCGTGCGGCTGGCCATCATCGGGGACGAGATGGAAGTGAGATGGATGCTGCCCCGCTTTCCGCAGGTGCCCTGGGTGGCCATGTACAGGTACGGGCTCCCGGGGCTGGCCGCTGCCCTGGGTTCTCCTGCCTCGGCTCAGGCGGCAGAACCTCAGCCCCTCCTCCGCCCCTCGTCCAGCCGGAGTCTTGACATTAAACGACAGCCGTGCTGGGGAGCCCGGATGGCGGCGTCTGTCGGTCTTCCTCGGCAGAGGTGCTCAGCGCCCGTGATTTGCCTGTGGGTTCTCAGACCCCACAGAGTTGCCCAGGGTGGGGACACAGAGACCTTACTCGAGATCAGGACTGAAGTAGACATGGCCCCGTGGTCTCTAGGAAGCAGCCTTCTTTGGGGAGCCTGTACCCAAACACAGCCTCTCTGGAGGGAGGACCTGCCCCCTTGGCCCCGCCTCTTTGGGCCTGGACCCTGGAGCGTGTTCCACGGGCCGGCTCCGGAAGGCAAGGCCAAACGCCAGTGGCCGGCAGGCAGGGGAGGAAGCAGGAATCAGATGACTCGAGGACCAGAAATGGCCCATGGAGAGAGGCCCTCGCTGTGGAGCCACCCAGGGAAGGGGGCGAGGGCGGCAGTAGGTGGCAGGGGAGGGGGGGACATGCCCATTTCTCCCCACAGCTGTCACCTAAAATAAAGGCCATCTCTGCCCTGTTCCCTCCCATCTGTCTTACAGCTGGGCTTTCACCTATAACCAGATAGGCCTGAGGCGTGTTCTGAGAAGTTTTATGGGTGGTCTCACTAATCTCAGGGGGAGCAGAAGGTTCTGGAGCTTCCTGATCCTCGGGGACAGGGTAAGCTTGACAGTGCAGCTGCTCCATAAAGCAGACCCTCTGGTTGGCACAGTCCCCACCACTCCCTATCGCTGTCTTGCCTGCTTCACCTGTTTTTCCTTCTGCCTGGTCCCGGAGGCCTTTGGGGCGAGACCCCAGGCTTGTGCACGGGTCCTCGAGCCTCGCCTGCCTCACCCCCTCACCCGTGCTCACGCCTCTCCCTCTGCCAGGAGCGCCTTCATCTGGCAGATGCGGATTCCAGATGAATCGCTCGCCTGGGTTCCTCACCCACCTGCCCACGCAGGTGCCTCCTGTCCCCAGCAGCTTTCCTGACCACTCCCCACTCCTCCTGCCTGCACTTGGTCATCTCAGTTCCCAGCAGAGGAGAGCCCGGGTGGCCTGGCCTCGGGACACTTTCCTCTCCTACCCTCCCGCTCGCATCTTTCTGGACCTTGCCCCAGAGCCGTCCTGTCCTGAATGAGGTGCTCTTGCCGCCTCCCTGGACCCACTTCCTCTTCACCACCACTCACACCCGCGGGCGGGCACAGGGGCGAGCTGTAGAACCAGCTGGCTTCTCCAGGCTCGTGGTCCTCACTTTTCCCCTTCACCCCACAGGTGTCCCCCAGCCACGGGCGCAAGATGTCGGTGCTGCTGCTGCTGGCGCTGCTGCTCGACTGGGGCCTCCACCTCCTCCAGTGACAGCTGCTGGCCAGTGTGGGGCAGGGCTGGCCCTCCCCCAACCACCACCCTGGAGGTGGCCTTGTTGGTTTTGTTGTCTTTTTAACTGTTTTCTTACGATCCCTTTTTTATATTTAAATTCTGAGTGCTGGGACACTCCTGAGGTTTCATACTTTGTTTTTGTTTTGTAAGAAAAATGAATTATACCTCTGGGGTCTTTATGCTTAACTGCTCTCCTGGCCCCAGAAGGAGCCTTCCTCTCGTGGGTGGGTCATGTAGCAGGCAGTGGGGGGAGTGCTGGTCACACCCGTGTCTGTCACCCACAGCCGAGAGAATCTGCTGGAGTAGATTCCTGAGTGAGGAGAGCTCAATAAAATGTTGGTTTGCATCTGTCTCTGGTCTTTGCATCGCGGGCTCCGTCTTGCCCCTTGGAGGTGATGATCATGGCGGAGGGGTGGGTGTACTCCCAGCCACTTGCCTACGTCACAGCCTCCAGGCTCATCTCTGTACCTGCAGGTGCTGCTTGGGCCCCACAGAACCAGTTTACTCCCACCCTGTCAGGCCTTGGTGCCTGAAATCGACCATTAGGGATTATTCCCTTTGGGCTGCTGGCCCTCCCCGTGGGTGCTCACCCAGCGCTCCCCGCTGGAGTGGTGCAGCCTGTGGGGCACTCAGGTGCGGAGGGGAGGAGGCTGGGCAGAGGATACCACTGGGTTCCCACATGGTGCAGAGAGACTCCACTCAGGAGTTCAAACCAGCTTCAATCTGAGCCCATAGTGACACAAAAATGACTCTTCAACCCACAAAGGAAGGACCAGAGGCCTGTCCCTCCCAGGAGGGGGCTCCCAATCCCTGAAAATTTCCACACAGTGCTTTCCCGTCAACAGGCCCCTGGGGCTTTTGAACAAGGCCCCTGGTCTGGTCAGGATTTCTGGAGGTAAGGCGGGATAGAGGCTCAGAAAGAAGATGCCAGGGCACCCTGTTCCTGCCAGGGCAGGAGCACAGCAGCACCCACTGCCAGGCAAACCAGGGAGGTGGTGCTCTGTGACACGGGACCCAGAGATGGAGTGGCACCCTGGCACGAAGATGGTGCCAGTATTCTCCCAGGGGGCAGGAACTGGCCACGATCCCTTCGAGGAAGAGGAAGGACGTAGGTACCACCTGACTCTGGGCTCCTCCCAGAGCTCCCCTCACTGCCCTGCGCCTCTGTGTCACCTCCAGGCCTCCAGCTTTAGGGTACACAGCGGCAGGGCGAGGGCCCCCACCCACCCCGACCCAGGGCTCAGGGTGGAGGCAGAACCCTGCCTGCCGCACTCCTGGGAGTCCCTCCTACTGTACCACTGCCCTTCGGTTGCTGTTCCTCCCCCTGTGCTTGGAGCACGCATGGGCCAGGGCACGGTCCCAGAAGAGCAGCCAGACCTCCCTGCCCCGCCCCGTCCACTGCCATGCCCTGCTGTCCTTACCTGGGGCTTCTGGGAGCCGAGCAGACCTGTGGCACCATCCTGCCTGCAGCGCAGCCCCACCCAGGAGCTGGTCTCCTTAGGCTACTCGTTGCTCAGAACACTCAGCAAAGGGGATTCAGACAGAACTGGCAATTATTTGAAAATAAACTTCTTCATGCATGTTTGAGAATTTCTACAGCAAAGTTTTAAGAAACAGTTCTTTCTTCACTGTGCTCCCAGGAACGCCTGGAGAAAGCCAGGCTGTATGCTCGTATCCTCAGTGGTTCCCACCCGGGCTGTGGAAACAGGTTTGGGGTCACAGTCCTAGAAGTGCTCCTGGTGCGAAGGGGCCAGGTCAAGGCAGCTGCCCACAAGCAAGAAGCCCCACAGGGAAGGCTGGTCTGCCCAAAGGCCAAAAGGACCCATTGAGAAACACTGGAACTAAACACGAGAAGCTTTATCCAGGATCTGACGTGAGTCTACACATTAGCAACATTTAAAGACAAATGCAGAGGTTTATTCCCAATAAGGTTTGCCCACTGTTGCTGAACAATGAAAAACCACCCAAGGAGCACAGAATTACTCATTTCATACCAATGCAAAGAGAGGCATTGGCAGGGTGCCTGTGCTGTGCCCCTGGTGTGGAGCAGGCTGAGGATATGCCCTGTGCCAGACTAGTCACAGGCACACAGGAGGCACTCAGTATTCGCCTAGGGTGGGGGGAAAAGGCGGGCCCTCATGGGCCCTCCCTGTACCCCTCCTGCCTCACTAAAGGGCCCTCTTCTTGCCAGGGCAGCAGCTACCCAGTCCCTGGCACACAGCAGGCACTCAGTACTGTCTCTTGGGAAAGTAAACTGACCTGGGATTACCGGGTGGCAGGGCTGCCAAGGCCAGCCAGGTCCTTTGGATTCAGTGACAAAGGAGCAAAGGTTATGGTCGTGGGTGGCTGCAGGGGCAGTGGAGCCCGTTCTTTTCCAGCACTGTCCTACCTGGTGGCCATGCCAGTGTGCCCATAGCACCTGCCATGCAGGGTGGGACATGGCCACTGGTCACACTTTCTCGTCCTTAGAACGCTCCTGCTGGCCAGGCTGTCCCAGCCTATTTTAGAGGAGCCACCTGAGCCCGAGGGGCTGTGGTCGGCCCACGTGGCCGGCTGGTGGAGGCAGGGTGAGAACTCCAGTCTCTTCGGGTAACTTGCACTGCTGCCTTTCCCAGCATCCAGGCATGATTTGAGGAGAAACGGACTGTGCTGCATAAAGAAATCCTCACTTTCAGTGCTTTACGTGACGCCAAAGCTCTTTGCAAACAATCCCTCCCTATCACTCGCCAGAGGAGGCTGGACAGGAAGGCGTGGCAGGAACAGTTTCCTGGGCAGGACAGGCTGGCTCGGCTCCCTGCAGCTCCCCACCCCCACCCCGTGGCCACCAGGAGACACTACAGGTGCTGGTCCGGGGCCTCATCCGCCTCCAGCACCTCCACGTGGCTGTAGGACTTCCAGGCCTGCAGGTTGCAGCTCTTCAGGATGGCTCCCAGCTGCTTCCCAGGTCCCACCTCAAAAGTCTGGGGGAACTCGGTGCCCTTCCTCCTCTCGTACAAGGCGTGCATCGTCTGCTCCCACTTCACCGGGGAGACCACCTGCTGGACCAGCAGCTTCTGGATGTGTTTAGGATGCATGTACCTGTTCCCGTTGACGTTGGAGTGCACGGAAACCAGGGGCTTCTTCAAGTCGATGGCCTTTAGGACTTGCGCCAGGGGCTCCAAGGCCGGCTCCATGAGGCGGGTGTGGAACCCTCCGCTGACTGGCAGCATCTTCGTGCGTCTGAAGTGATACTTAGAAGAGTTCTTCTGGAGAAACTGCAGAGCCTGGAAGAAAAGGAGGAAGGTTATTCCAAGCAAACCTTAGGGAAGGAGCAGAGGCAGTCAGCCCGGCACCATCAGTGCTGCGTCCACAATGTGCTCCTCTGCACACCCTCACCCACATTTCACCCCAACAGCCAGCAGGGATGGGCTCCACTCACCTCTGTTCCAGTTAGAATCCCTCCTATGGTCAGGGCCCAGGAGTCCTCCTCTGGGGATCTGACCACACACACCATCCCCTGGGCAGGTGACCACAGTGTGGCTGAAAGATCTGAGGCTGGACTCCTGGGATCTGGGTCCCTTCCCAGCACTGTCATGCACTAGCTTGGTGGCCCCGGGCAAATTGCTCAACCTCTTTGTATTTTTCTTTCCATCCATAACAACACAATTTCATCTACTTCACAAGGCTTCTGGAAAGTGATCAGATCGGAGATGTGTGACAGTGTCTGATAAACAAGAAAGCACTACCTAGCCCTGGCTGGTGCAGCTCAGTTGGTTGAGTGCCGTCCTGTGAACCAAAAGGTTTCCGGTTCGATTCCCAGTCAGGGCCCATGCCCAGGTTGCAGGCTCGACCCTCCTGTAAGGGGCGTGAAGGAGGCAGCTGATCGATGTTTCCTTCTCACATCCATTTTTCTCTTTCTTTAAAAATCAGTTAGAAAATTGCAAAAAAATTTAAAAAAGCACTATCTAATACATGTTTGTCTTCAATCATAATTCTGCTACCCCTCATCTTTAATAAGCCTGTTTTCATGTTACTACATAACCTCCAACATAAAACTTCCGGAGACTCGAAGCTCATTTCGCTGTGCAGGATCTTTCTACCAGAACCCCCTCACCTGGGGTTTGTCTTACTGAAGCCAAGCCTTCCCCTGATCTCCAGGGCTAACAGGCCAAACCAGGAACTGTTTGCAAACAACATAATTTACAAATATCTTTAAAATAGTAGATACTCTTAAGAGACCCTTTGCTCTCAGGACACAGCCCAGGGCCTGCCGCCCTGCTGACCCTCTGTTGGGATCTGCTGAAGGGCTTCTCGTGCACTAACCTGTTTGCCGTGTCCCTGCAACCTGACCCCATCCCCAGCCTGCTCAGAGGCCAGGCCAGCTGCTCCCTGGGAGACTAAGGTAAGCCTTAAAAAAGTCACGGCAGCTGCAGGACCTGGGGCAATTTTACTTTAGCTCTCGTGCCTCAGTTTTCTTCTCTAAAATGGGGGTAACAGCTATGGGTTATAGGGCTACGGTAAGGAGAACTACGCTTGGCATACAAGTGCTATATAAGGGACATAATTAATATCTTGAATACCAAGCCCATCCATGTTCACTGGAAAAACATGACGGGGAGCTAATGTGTGCCCCCACAGGGTAGAAGGGATTACTGCTTTTGGTGGCACAGCATCTCTGGGGGCCCTCCCTGCGGGGATGCACCCTGCTCCCCCCAGGCATGGCCAGTGCAACCCTTGGCTCCTCCTGTCACTCCTGTTTGTCAGTGTCCCCCACGGAGGCTGCTCCAGCAACTTGAGCCCTGAGGCAAAAGCGAAGTGGCGCAGAACCCACCACAGCAAACTCTACCTGGGATGGGGACCTTGCTGTGGGAACCACACCTGTGGGAACCACTAAGGGGTTCAGGTCGTCGCTGCGGCAGAATCTAGCTTGCCCTGATTGACCTGGTGCTTCCGGTCCATGGCCACCCTCCACCTCCCCATCTCACTAAGGGACGTGCCCCAGGAGTCTCTGAACCAAGGCCTCCTCCATGCTGAGACTTCTGTCACCAGCATTGGTGTAGACGGCTCCTCCGTGCACTTTCTGCACAATTTCAGCGGTCTCAACGTGCTCTCCATGTTGTCTCTGGACTAATCCAACTCCAGTCCCAGGTGAGTCACTGCTGTAGGGTCCAGCAGACTTCTCTGAGGCTGGCCCTCAGCTTAGGCACTGGTCCAGCAGAGGCTGCATTTTTTTTTTAACATCAGTTGAGGACCCCGGCCCTTCCCCAAACCCTTGGCTGTGGCCCTTCCAACAGCACTGAAAGGCCACACCTGGGACTCGGAGCCATCACCCAGACCGATGCCCACCTGTCCAGGATCCTGAGGAGGAAGAGTGCTGCCTGGGCTGGGGGCTGACCCAGCCCACTGCTGGGCATCGTTCCAAGGCTATGAATGGGGACCAGCAACCAGCCTCATGGTTACTTGGGGGCCCCTGTAACTGATCTCTTAATTGTCACAAAAGGGATCTGCTGGCTTCCACTGACTCAGAGGACAGACACAAGGACACCTGGCATACTGCACAGCCTAAAAGAGGAAGAACTGAGCACAGCCAAGTGGAGGAAGCAGATTCCAGACTGAGACCGACTGCAGTTCCAGTGCTGCCTCCAACATCTCTGAGCACCTGCCACCCTGACTGCCTCGGCATCCTTGTGTGTAAAGTGTGAGTCAGACTCCCTTCCACAGAGCATAGGACCGGCTGGGAGGCCGAAGTAAGATGTGTGAACACTGGCCCTGCGTCCGCAGCCCTTCACTCAGGCTCCTGTCTGCACTCGGCATGCCCGAAGCAGCCCCCAGGACAGAGCTGGCCTTTCCGTCAGGTGCTGCCTGCCTCTGCCGGATGCCCCTCTTCCTAGTATCCATCTCCCCCAGGCACCGCCTTCTGGTGCCACCTCTGCAGGCCATTGGTAGACAGTTTGACCCTTACTGTGCCCGAAACCTAGCTTATCCATTCCCAGCCGGCCTTCCTCTGATGGCAGGAACCCTGGCTTATCAGCCACGTGTGCCCTCGGCGCCTGTTACGTGGGAGCTGCTGGAGAAATGTCTGGGGAAGCAGTGAATGTAGGGAAGTCCAGAAGGAAAGGAAATTAACTTGGTGTGGAAGCAGACATCTGAGAACAAGCAGGGCAGGGCAGCCCAGCAGGAAACGCTCTGCCCTCTCTAAGGAAGCAGCCGCATCAGAGGCTGTGAGAGGCCCAGAACATTCTGCAGAATGGCCCCGGAGACCATGTGGCCCAGCCCTTTACTTTTCAGTGGGCTGGGCGACTTGCCCAGGGTCCCTGTCTGTACGAGGTGAAGTGGGACAGCATCCCAGCCTTCGGCTGCCTTCTGCAGTGCTCACTGCACCCCACTCCCGGCCCTCACATGCTTTCCAAAGACCATGGCTCGGTAGAGCCCCCAGTGCACCACTGTGGGCTCCCAGGTGAGGAAGGATCCCAACCTTCTGTGCTGGGGTAGGGTCTATGAAGGCTGTTTCCCTCAACACCAACCTCCAGGTGTCCTGAAATCACCCTGCAGTCCGGAAAGAGGTAGTTGGCCACCTCACACACAGGGTTCTCTATGCCCAAGGTCTTGCAGTGCTCCCGGGCTTCCAAACAGGCGAAGGTGAACTTGGACTGGGGCTGGCCGAGGACAGACAACATCCCACTGGAGACTGCTTCCGAGGCTTCCTGCATAGCCTCAGCTCGGATTTTCACTGCATAGAGACCTATCCAGAGAGAAGTGCATTTGGAAAAGTCGGGGCACATAATGAAGGAGGGAAGCCCAGACCTGTGATACAAAGCACTGGTTCCACACTGCGTGCTAAGACACTGACATCAGCATTTGTCACCAGGCCACAAGGCCATCCTTCTGTGTGTCTGTATCTATCATATACAGATGTACCACTATCATCAAAAAGTAGGGTGCTGCCCAGCCAGTCTGGCTTAGTGGATTGAGTGTTGACCCATGCACTAAAAGGTCACCAATTCAATCCTGGTCAGGATACATGCCCGGGTTGCAGGCTTGATCCCTAGTCGGGGGG